AGGGCAGTTAGGGGGATCAGGCAGGCAGGACAGGGCAGTTAGGGGGATCAGGCAGGCAGGCAGAGTGGTTAGGGCAGGCAGGCAGGTGAGCAGTTAGGAGCCAGAGGTCCTGGATTGTGAGAGGGATGTCCAACTGCCAGTTGGAGAGGGTGGAGGTCAGGCTGAGGGAACCTCCCCCACCCCTGTGCACGAATTTCGTGCACCGGGCCTCTAGTTTAAAAGATAATTTCTGATATATGTAGCTGCCTTTTCTCTGTTTAAATTCAATTAGCTTGTCCAAGATTTGGCACAGAGCCTGTATCATGCCATCCATCCTCATGATGACCCCAAGAGGCAGGTAGCATTCTTATCACCAGGTTACAGATGGGGAAACGATTGATTTCCACTCAGATCTTGGGTGGGATTCCAGCCATTTCACTCAAAGCACATATCAGCTTTCAGGGACCAATTCAGACTATTTTAGTGCTGGTGACGCAGACGAGCAAAAGGGTTATTTGGGGTTTGTGCTAGCAGCTAGCCTGAGCCTCTGTAGTGTGGTCACCACATGCTTCGTCAAGTATGTTCAGTACAACAGAGCAATAGCAGGGACCTGCTCTTTTTTCCCCAGAGAAGGGTCAATTTTGAACTTGACTTAAAGTAGACAAATAGACATTAGATGACTTTGGAGCATTTTGTTCAACAAATTCCAGGAATCATGGACTTCCTGGCTGTCAGACAGAGATAAATTGGAAAGTTGCACAGAATCCTATAATTCAGTCAACTTCTCAGAGAATAGAAATGGAAAACTTCTGGGCAGCCAACCCAAAGATCCCGAGAGGCTGTCTGCTGAAGCCCAAATCCTTGGCTGTTCTCTGTTCCTGTCACATGAGAGAGTCATTGGCCCACACAAATGAGGCTTCCACGGCGGGTCAGCCTGCTTTACCCACGAACCTGAGATAAGACCCCATTTCCCCCAAGAGATTCAATATCTTCTCATGTCATGTGTTTGCTCTAGAAAACAGATTATCTTATTTTTACGTGTATAAGATGCCCCCATGTATAAGACGACCCCCATTTTCCCAACCCCAAGTTAAGAAATCAATATTTTAAACATAAAACAGAACACATTTTATTTAGTAATTACCGCAGTTGTTCACATACCAGTACTATATTATGCAGCTTATCACTTTATGCAGCCTCTGTTGCATCACTGCTCTCTTCTTCATCACTGTTAGTTCCAGGCACATCACTTTCTCCAACTTCTATTGTGTCACTGCTGTCTTCTGAGTCACTATCTATATATGTGAGATCCTCCTCATAAACTGGTGGCATTTTCTGAGCTAACTTGGTTCGTGTTCTCATGGCCAATCCTTCTCTCCTCATGAATTTGAAGCACCATTTTGCCTTTCCTGTAAAATCAACAACATCCATTTCGCTTGCAAACATCCTTGCCTGACATTGAATAAGCGTGATGAGACACACAAGCCACTCTGGCGCTGCTCCATAATCCAAGTCTTAAGCCTCTGCTCCAAGTTTGCCATTTTGCTGGTTTTCCTCTTAAGGCCTTCTTCTTTTTGGGCATCATAAGGAGTTGTTCTTCCTGTTTTCTCCACTGTCTGATCATAAACTCAGTGGGAGGAGGTCCAAATTGTCTCTCTGCAGCCCTATTTCCATGCTTTTTTGCATAGCTGATTATATTCAGTTTGAATTTTGCAGAGTAAGATAATCGCTTACAGTATTTATCTTTTTATTTCTGACATCTTTATGGGCTCAGAACGCTTGGTCTCTGTTGCATCTGTGCACCCTCCACCTCCAATTATGGCATCAGTTGACGTCAGTAACAATAAGGCTCATAATTGGAGGAAGCCTGTTTGACAAGGTATGGGCAGCTCCGTACCCACATAGCTCCCTCCTCAGCTGACTTCCATGTATAAGATGCCCCTGGTTTTTCAGTCGAAAGATTTTAGAAAAAAAATATTGTCTTATACACGGAGAAATACAGTAACTCGTGATGAGAGTCCAGGGTATTTATGTCTTGCATATTTAGGGATTTTCTAGATAGCAACTCTGAGGGAAGCTAGAGTGGGTGGCTGGGTACATTCTCTACATTTGCTTTTTTTTTTTTTTTAAACAAAAACAGCAAAGCCAGCTAATGTTTACAACAGAGAAGAACCATGGAAGAGCTTTCTTTATTTTTTTTAAAAAAAATATTTTATTGATTTTTCACAGAAAGGAAGGGAGAGAGATAGAGAGTTAAAAACATCGATGAGAGAGAAACATCAATCAGCTGCCTCCTTCACACCTCCTACTGGGGATGTGCCCGCAACCAAGGTACATGCCCTTGACCGGAATCGAACCTGGGACCTTTCAGTCCACAGGCCAACGCTCTATCCACTGAGCCAATGGTCAGTTTACCAATGCTGCCATTGTGCCCTTTTCCTTTGGTAAGAAGAATTAGCACTTACTTGTTAGCTGAGACTCATTTCTGCTATGAAAACCAGATTTGGGAAATTCCAATTATATGTTAATTTGCCAACAGAGGATTGGGTTTGGCAATGAAATGTGAAGTAAAAAGTGATTAATTTTCTAGCTCTAGCTTACTCTGAAGGATATTAATTTTTAATGCATGTTAGGGTCACTAACAATGAGGAGAAAGTGTTGCAGCAAAGCTGGGAAACAGCTAACCTGGATGTGGCTCTTCTGTGAACTCATGGTTACCTCCCCGCACAGTGAGGCCAGGCAGCGCTCTCTGCCGTGGGTTTGAAGTTACGGCCAGAGACACCAAATGCAGCTCAGACAAGCAGTGCAGCAGGATGTGCTTGGAGACGGTCCAGTTCTCCTGGGGGCAGGTCAGAGGACAGGCCCCAGACGCCGGCCTGAGTCCGAGACCTCTGTTTCCATTCTGTGGAGAGGCCTAGCGCACCATTACCTGGAAGCTGTGGGAAGTCTGAGTCTTGCAAACTATCAACTCACTTCTGCTCACACAGCTGGACGAAGGTCCCAGGTGCCCACGCGGGATTTGGCCTGCACGCGTTCATGACTGGCTATGAGTAAGATCAGGTGAGGACTGCCCTTGAAAATATTATAACGCATAACAATGGCAGGGCTACAAAAACTTCTCCAAGAAAACCAACCTGACCTTCATTGACCACATTTATTTTATTTTCTGCCCGTGTATTCAGGGTTACAAAATCAACCCTCACGGACTGTGTTCCATCTTTCCACGCTGTTCTGGCCACACGCGATCATTTATGTAAGTGCTATGCGGGGCGCGGCAGTCCTGGGCTTAGACTCAGACAACTAACCGATCCATCTGTAATACATGATCCCTGGACATGTGTTTCCTCCACACAAATATAAATCTTTATCACCAGCATATTTTTGTAACTTCTACTTTCTTTTTTTTTTAAAATTAAATTGTAAAAACAAACGTGGATCAAAATGTTCTAAAGTTTAAATTACCTTCTCACTAAACTGATTACCCTTCTGACCAAACAGTAAGTCCACCCCAGCTAACCCTTCCTCTCCCCTCCTGGTGGCCTGGGAACACATCCCCCTACCCTGGGCGCCCCTTCCCCCTGCCCTGGGCTC